CCCCCCCGGCTGAAACCAAACGGACAGAAGCGCAGCTGGGCCGGACTTCACTCTCTACTCTGCAAAGAGGCTGCAGATTGACAACAAACACACAACAGCACTTTCAGCGATCCATCAGCTAGCTCATCACCTCCCTGCAGCCGCAGGCGACATGGATGCTTGGCGGCCTGCCGCCGACATGATCCCGGCACGGCCCGCGAGCGCCGGCACGAACGCCTCCGCCACCCTCGCCGCCAAGGCGCAAGCCCACACCAACACGCAGCACGCAACCTTCATGGCTGTGGTTAAGATTGCTTTGCTGTGTTCTTTCGCGTTGCGGACCGGGTGGGTTCGTCAGGTGTTGTGGTTGGTTGTCGACACAGCCTGCAGTTTTTGGACACACGGTAGAGCGGTACGTCCGAGCAGAACGAGCAAAACATCAACAAAAAAGGGGTTGCGAATGGTGCTTCCGCTTTTCACCACATCGGTGCGGTAGAAGAGAAGAGCATTGGGGACTTGCCGGCGTCAACTTGCATGATTTGAAAGGCTCCAGGCGGGATGATACATGGAGCATACCGTGTGACCATTACCGTGCTCTTTGGCTTCATGAACGCGGCTCGGGGATAGTTCGTACTCCGTAACTTGATATACTTGGAAGTATACACTTGTCACGAATACTGCATATCATACTGCTGTAGTTTTCGTCTGGATCCTTTTAGGTCCTCTTGTGAGAAATATCATCTTGAATTATCATCTTGTCTCCAGCGTTCCTGCTGCTGCGAGCGAACAGTGGAATATTTTGCGTGCAGCGTTCCGTGTAGCCCGACACATCGTTCAGCTACCCAGCAGCTGCGGTACTGCAGCGCAACCTGTGAAGGACAACAGCAGTGCAACAATCCAACGGGTTTTATCCTTCCACCCCCGCTTTCTTCCCGTCTTGCAAACATAACTTTGCCGTCGGGGGCGAGGAAATAAGAAAGGCCATCGGAGAAGGGTAACGACACGCCGTGACCCTACTGCTGTAGCAGCCGCAACCACAGCACGGGCTGGAGCGGATGAGAGAGGAAGGGCTTCGATGAGCTTTGCCTACGACCGCACACACCAAATCCAGCACGAGCTGTTTGCAGGAAGGAGGGGTATCATGTGACTCCTCGACCTCAACATGCAACTTTATCCGCCTCCAGACACAGCTGTTGCTGTTGATCCCAATCCTTAAACCAACACCGACTCCTCACGTGTACAGAGGGCTGCCTGGATGGGCGCCAGGGGCCTGGCGATGTGCTACTTCGCTGTGTACGTCGATCAACGCAGGCTGGCACCTCTGCTCGTTTTGTGAGCAGCCAGCTGGCACGCGCTGCGGCGGTTCTGCCCCCCCAAATCGCTGCAGCGTTCACCAAAGCAGAACCAATGCACAAAAGCATGCACAAAGCGTCAAACCACCTTCTACGCTCTCGTTCTCGCCCTCTCGGAAAAGACCACCGGTCAGCAGCAGGATGCATAGCAGCAAGTGCTCTCTCGCCGTGTGCACGACCGTCGATCGATCAATCCCGTTTCCTTCTTCAACTCGCACACCACTCATATATGTTTTACGGGAGCGCGAGGTTACCAACGAGCAAACTCCCGAACGATCTGTGGTGCACCCATTCTTATCCTTCCCCTGACACTTACCGAGGCTAGGTGGTCGAGGCACACGTAGAAAAAGGAGAGAAAGTAGCAGCAGATCGCGTGTGCCAAGGACGAGAAGCGTTTGCATGACACAGCGGGTGTCCTCGCGGAGATATCACTACCTCACCTCCTTCATGAGTAGGAGTGCTAGCCGGGTGCCCCCCGGGGTAACTGCTGACGCCGCTGGCGATGCAACTGCTGCCCAAGCTTTGCACACCACCATAGTACATCACCCCACAACCTCCAGCTCTGCCTGACGAGGCGTAAACCTACAACTCACCCACGGTGCCAGTGATCCTGGGTCAAGCTCTATCCGAGTGCGCCCCCCACACCCAGCAGCAAAGATGCCGGCCGCGTCACAGAGATGTATGCGGTTTACCGTCGGCGCCCTCGCCTGCAACGCCGCCTGCCTGGGCTTCGTCACAGGTCTCGCCAAGGCGCCATCCCGCGGCATCTCCACCAGGACGTCCCACAAGTCCTCCACCATCACCATGAGGGGTGGGCCCCTCCGAGGTCGCGAGGCTGCTGGTGAGGCTGGCGGGCAACGTCAAGGCCAAAAGGAGGCCTGGCAGACTCGCGGGCGACGGTTCCTGTCGGTGCTGCGCAGCGGTCAGCAGGACAGGGACGTGGGCGGGGAGGATGTTGTTGACGGCTCGTCGGCAGATAGCCCTCAGGTGCGCGGTGCGTTTGTGCGTTCCTTTCCCCCGAGAGTCGCTCAAAGTACACCATGTATCGCGGGCACCGTACATAAAAAAAGGCGGCATCACACCAGGCAGCAACACGTGTCCGTTTCTTCGTGTTGAACGGCTGTGGAACATCAACAACCCAAGCGCCTCGCCGCCGTCCAATGGGTTGACGGGGAGCGTTGGCTATCTCCTAGCGTGTGGCACGTTTTGGTTGAGTTCAGAAACGTCGGGATGTTGGCTGCGACTTGTTGTGCTCCGGGCTGGCATCTTTGTTGTCTAGCCCCGCGCAACAGAAACGGTTGTAGGCGAGCAGTCTCCGAATCCTGCGGTGGTGCGTAGCTCATGATTGATGATTTGTAGGAGCGTCCATGCGTCATAATCTCTGCATGATCCTTGCGTTTTCTCCAAGCCCAGCGGTGACGCGCTGCTCTCTCCTTCCTCTTAACCCCGCTGCTATGACCACGCTCAAGGGTCTTCTCGACTGCCGTGGTGATGACGTTCACTCGTTACACTGGTTGTAGAGGTAGGTAGCTTACCGCGGCGTGCGGCCATGCTCCGCCTTCAAACCACCTCTACGACTGATCGATCAGCAACTATTATAGTTTCCACCGTATCCTAACCAAGGATGAACAAGTTACCGCTCGCTCTTGTAGCCACGGGTGCATAGACCTTCTTCGGTGCGGGGCAAGGGCGTTGCTGCTCCCGCGTGATTGGCGTGCGGGGTGTGCTGTTGGATGTGTGTTTATGTTGTGTGGGAAACAGGGCACGCGTCCAGACACCACCTAGTGCTGCGTCCTTCCGTACACTATTATATAATAGTTTTCTTCCACGTGTAGATTTTTTTTTAATACTGCCTGTTGATGAGTGTGAAAATTCCATGACTTTCCCCTCTGGCGTGACCGAGGCTCGTGCGGCAGACGCACGCCCAAAGGTGTAGGCTGTGTGCCGAGAATAGCAGCGAATAGGTAGATGGGTCCATCAGACCCTTTCACATGCGGCGGTATTCGAAGAAGAATAAAACGAAAACTTCAACCAAAGAAGCTCCTTAGCTCCCACGTGTGCGCCCGCTGTGTGTGCTTTGATCGAGTTCCATGCGGCGGGTTTCTTGGTATCATGATGGTCCCTCGTACAGCAGTACTCGTGCGGCCACCCCCAAACCTCTCGCCAAAGTTCTGCTGCTGCTGTTGCCATGCCCATGAACCGTTCTTGTTGGCTTAGCCACATCGACGACCGCACACCTGAAAGAAAGGCGTGACTCATTTTTTTAACCACAAACTCACTGCAACGTGAAAAGGAGTAATATATGTCATCTTTTTCCGAACAGTCAACTTCAACTTTGGTCTGGTCTTTCGGCCAAGGGGACAGCAGGTTTGGGTTAAACATAGACGGAGCGGGGGTGTACCTTCAGGGGCGCTCATTCCCGGACCGGATGTTTCCAAGTCTGTTCTCCACAAGAGAGTACAGTAGTTAAGATTCCGTGGAAATCACATCATATTTAGTACTCTCGGGAGACTCGGAACTCCTTGTTGTGGCCGTAGTTTAGTTGTTGTTGGTTTGGGACGATTTTTTTCATAATAGTTGGTCTGGCTCTGCATTGCGGGATCTCTGCTTCCACGCCGGTGTACGATACGAACCTACTGGATTTGTAAATCTCCTTGTGGCCGCGTAAACTTTACAGAGCCCGAATTAAGACTCCAAAAACTCCTTCGCGTATTCTGTCCAAACTGCGAGAGTAGGTTCGAAATTTCGAAGTTAAGAAGGAAGGCGGAAATAGAACTCCTTTAGACGCCAGCTGGCGCGTCCCGAATTGTACCGAATGGTCTAGGAACCAACGTCCAGGACAAGTTGGATGTACAAGAAAACGAAGGAGGTGAAGAAGTACCTTCTCAGCGGTGGATCTTGCATACTGTGTTCATGGCGGTCAGTCTACGCTCAAAGGTAGCTGCATAGTGACCACCTGAGCCTCGCCCAGACGTTCACGTTTCTACTTAGCGGACCGATGTGACTGTCGCACGCTTCTGTTGCAGTTGACCGCAGCCGAGACTTGAAATTGAAACCGTCAAAGACGCCGTTGGCAGCTGTCATTCTTTCGACCTTCCCGTGTCTGTTTCACCATTGTACGTACAGTGAACATGAGTCTTACGCTGTGTTGCGGTGTTTTGACACTGTTCAGCATCGAGCGTTTTTGATGCACTTCTTTTCCAACTGGCTTTGACCTCTCCATTAGGAGTATTTCAACCATGACATTGCCTAGATCTAGAGGAGAAAGATTCGGAAGAAAGCATCGTAGCGGATATTGGACGTATGTGAGCATTTGTGTATTTCAACTTGGAATTTTGTGTTTGCCCAAAACCAGCCTAACACTTGAATTTTGATGTGGCCGAAACACAGCAGCTTTGGAACAAGCTAATAATACACGTGCAACGACATATACACGGGGGCCGTGCACGGCACCGAATGAATGCCCCAAACTTGGTAGTCTGGGGACAGTTTTCTCGCGTGACGACACGCGTTACGACCTGGTAGCCCGCTTCGCTGCCCTACCGTTAAACTCAAAAAATATTAGTTCCGAACTTTCCCACCTATTATCTACTACCCTTCTTGTATGTCCCTTTTTGCCGCCCTGCGACCCCCCCCCCCTTCTCCCGGTTTTCCCACAGACCTCCGACGGGTTGTCGGTTGCAGTGAAGGTAGACGGAGGCGCACAGAAGGAGACCCCGGCATCGGGTGCAGGGTTCTTGAAAGGTTTGATTCCCAGCAAGTCGGAGAGGAAGAAGCTGCTGCCGTTGGCGGCGATGTTCTTCTGCATCTTGTTTAACTACACCATCCTCAGAGACACCAAGGTGGGGAGGGGGCGTTGCGAACGGATCATGGGCGGATGAGAGGATTTTTTTTCGTCGAGCTGAGAAGTTGTCGTAGTGTTTTCAGCACATGGGGGTCATTTGGGGGTCGTGGTAACGTGAGCTGTTTATCTTGCATTGCGCACTACTGATTTAGGAGTGTGCAGACGCCGCACCCGTACAGTGGTCGTTGACTGCGGTGTTTCGATCATGCGATACATCCGTCTTTTCTTTACTTGTCGCGGCACAACACCAGGTTTTTTTCAATAACAAGAAGCCAAGAAAATTGCAGAGCCAGCTCCACCGACTGCTGTGTAAGCTGCCCGCCCCCCGTGACACACATCCCTTGCTCTCTTTGTTGCCTTTTTCTGTACCGCTCTTTCCTATTACCTCTTTTCGCATGTAAGGACTTGTGAAATGCCTTTTCGACGTGATAAAGTTTAAGGGGTGTCGGTATTTCCTCATTGCGAGACGCGCCGCCTGACCGATCGCATCGAGCCTTCGATTGGACCGAGGCTTTCTTTTTTGTGCATCATGTCCTAGGTCCACGCCAAATGCCGCCGCGTCTCTCTCGATGTCCACGCCGTCACACCGATTAGTCCAACTAAAGCTGTCACCACTCACCGCTGTGAGCGAGACCAACGCAACACCGGCATTCGACGCAAGATTTATTTTTCGTGACGTGTACATGCGGACCAATCATTTTCCCCTTTTTTCCTATTAACAGTACGTTCGATAACTGGTAAAACTTCTTCAAACTTCGATACCCTTCTCGTTGCAAGGTTTGCACAAATTGCTGAGTAAATGGATGGAAACTTCCCCAAATTGACGAAAGAACCGCGCTTGCTGATTTCAATGGATGCAAACAGGATGTGCTGGTGGTGACCGCGCCCGGGTCCGGCGCCGAGATCATCCCTTTCCTCAAGACATACGTCAACCTCCCGGCGGCGATCGCGTTCACGGTGCTCTACTCCAAGCTGAACAACGTCATGTCGCCTTCCAAGGTCTTCTACACGTGCATCACCCCGTTCCTGGCCTTCTTCGCTTCCTTCGCCGCCTTCATCTACCCGGCGAGAGACGCGCTCCACCCCCACGCCGCCGCGGACTACCTGTTGACGCATCTGCCCAAGGCCTTCGGTCCGTTGATCTCCATCTTCCGAAACTGGACGTACGCGGTGTTCTACACCGCCGCCGAGCTGTGGGGCTCCGTGGTTGTGTCTGTCTTGTTCTGGGGCCTGGCCAATCAGGTGAGGTTTGTTGAGGGGTCTCCGTGGTCGGGTCTGTGATGCTCTGGGGCCTGGCCAACCGGTTGGTGTTTGTTTTTGTGGTTGACTTTTGTGCATGCGCTTGGCATGCTTGTTTTCGTCGATAGAGGTGTGTTCATGGTGTTCATTTTTTTGGATTTTGGTGGTTGAAGCAAAATGATCGCTCGCGAGGGGCGAATGTCCCGTCCCATATCGCTCGTTTTTTTTTTTATGTTTGTGTGTGTGCTTTCTCTTTTTCCCTTTTCGTGCCGAGGCACGGACCGGTGCGATGACCGCGGAAGAACTTTGCGCGTCCGAACAAGCTCGTTTTTTTGCCGCCTTCAAACTTAAAGCGCCATTGTTAATCGCAATTCGGTCGTTCATCATGACGGCGAAACTGACGTTTACCGCGAAGGAGGGTTGAGTCAAGACATGCCGGTGTTGCATTCCTTCCCTTACCCTCCTTGACATGACCGCTAATTCAACGGTCCATACTGATTTCGACACTGACGCCTCCTTGACCTCTCCTCCCCGCTTATACTTGTCTCCCGACGGCCCGGCACACTTGATGATGGTGACGGTGATGGTGATGGCGATGGTTCTCTCTCGAAGATCACTACTACTAAGGAGGCTAAGAAGTACTACCCCCTCTTCGGCCTCGGCGCCAACGTGGCTCTCATCTTCTCTGGCCAGTACGTGAGATTCGTCTCGGCCTTCCGTGCGTCGCTGCCCGCACACGTCGACAAGTGGGGCGCGTCCCTCAAGCTCCTCATGGGTGAGAGAACCATGACGACTCAAATTGCGGCTCGAGCGGTCCCTACCGTCCCTAGCGTTGAATTCCACACCCCGCTGGTGCCTCCTCGAAGCAGTCGGTGGTAGTGTATCCGACACGATACATGAGCGATGATGGTGGGGGAAAGTGTAGTGTTCTTTTCGGGTGTACTCGCTCTGCAAGTCAGGGCAAGAAAGAAGGACACGGGTTGATGTCCTTAATAAATTTGGTGTGGTCTGTGTGATGCTGCTCCCTTGGTGTCGGTGTGGCAGTAGCGGCACTTCACACCAAGCCGGTCCGAACGCGTGGCGTCCTTTCGGTATGCTGATGGATGGTTCATTCTTGGTGTTGTTGTTTTTGTGCGTCTTTCGTCGAGAACAGTGCAACCGCCGACCACAAGGACGTTTTGCGTTTTGTGTCGGGAAACTCAATTGCTGAGGCTTGCTATTGTTCGGATGTCATAGACGACTGTGTTCCCACAACACCGACAACAACCACACTGCTGCGAGTTCTTAACGGCCGGCGAATATCATGTATTCTTTGTTGAGCGGTGCCCGTCCAGCGGTTCCTTGTTTACAACCTTCGAACGGTTTCTCCACTTGCTGCTAGGTTTTTCATCGTTCCCCCCCCCCTTGTTCTTTGTCCCTGCGTCTTTGGCGGACTTGTTGGTGTCCCCAGGTGCCGTGTGCACGCTGGGCGTTGCGATCATCGGCATCCACGCGCACGTGCAGAAGAACGTCATGACGGACCCCGAGTGCGTCCCCGCCGAGGTCGGGAAGCCCAAGTCGAAGACGGCCACCTCGATGGGCCTCCGTGAGTCAGCCAAGTACCTGGCCGCGTCCCCCTACATCCGTAACCTGGCCATCCTTGTGATCGCCTACGGGATGTCCATCAACATTGTGGAGGTAACGTGGAAGGGTAACCTTAAGCGGGCCTTCCCGGACCCCAACGCGTACTCGGCGTTCATGGGCAACTTCAGCACGGCCACCGGCAGCGTGACGCTGCTGATGATGATCATGGGTAGGTTCATCTTCCAGAAGTTCGGCTGGACCACGGCCGCGCTAGTCACGCCTACCGTGCTCGCCCTCACCGGGGCCTTCTTCTTCTCTCTGATTCTGTTCGAGGGAACGTTCTCGCCGCTGCTGGCGTTCTTCGGCACGACGCCCCTCATGGCCGCTGTGTTGATCGGCGCAGCGCAGGTGAATGAAGTGTTTCATGTGAAAGTGGGCTACTCATGTTTTGCATGCCTTTCTTGTTGGGGCCGTAGACAAGGTGTCCTCGAAAGGACGGAGCATTGTTCCCGAAGGACTGTGTTCAGGTGGTCAGTGGTTCCGTTCTACTTTGCCAGAGGTGGCTTGAGCTGGTTGTATGTGCTGTGTGATGGCGTGTCAAGGTTGTGTTTTGTTGTTCATCACGTGAGGCAGAGGTGCAATGTTTGGGTTTCTGCTTCGTACCGGATTCCTGGTGCCTATTAGTTTGGTTGCGATTCGTCAATTTACAACTCGACTTTTCGTCCGTGTCCCATGCTCGTATTCATGTGCCACCCCAAATATGCTGCACCACTTCATATCGTTCTGCAAATGGTCTGTTCGTTCGTGAAGCGCCTTCGTTCTGTCGCACGTGCGCTGATGCGAATAGAGACACGAGTGTTCACGGTAGCGTTGCGGCGGTGGCATGTTTCATCTTGCTCTATTTGTGTTGTTGAACCGTTTATCTCCCCTGATCAACCGGTACAAACCGTGTACCCAGACCCGGCTGACGAGCAGTTTCTCTCCTCTGAAAACCGAACCCTATAAACAGAACATCTTGTCGAAGAGCAGCAAGTACTCGCTGTTCGACCCGTGCAAGGAAATGGCGTACATCAACCTCGACGCGGAGCAGAAGACTAAGGGCAAGGCCGCCGTGGACGTCATCGGAAACCCCCTCGGGAAGTCGGGAGGGTCCTTCATCCAGCAGGCGAGACATCGACACCTTAATCGTACATCCATTGACCATGTCGTGCTTAAATGTTGTGTGTTGATTTATCCTCTCTGGTAGATTAGCGAAGAACATCTGGTCTCTCTCGCAATGACCTGGTACACTAGTATTGCCGCTGTATTTTGAGACGTTTTTTTTTTTTTTGTGGTGTAACAGAACCACGTATTTTTTTTTGCAGAGTGTTTTATGGTCTGGAAGTGCTGACGTGCTGTTGGTTTGGTGAAGAGAAAAGTTGGTACGACAGCTATTCGAGCTCCGAATGGGTACGTGCGCTCTTTCCCAACAAGCGAGAGCGATCGAGAAAGACAAACGCCGAGATGGCACCGACCGCTGCTTCAGCTGCAGGGACATGCTGGGAATATTGGTGTAATTATCTGACATTTGGCGAATGAACACCGTATCGCTCATCACGCCACGGTTGGTTCGGCCGGCCGTGACCTCGCCTTGCTACTTTGCCACACCTCTACGAGCTTGGCCGATACGTGTGACGCATGCGTGTGCCTAGAAACATGTTGGACGTTGTGTGCCGTTTGACGACAGAACCCTTGGCCACCCCTTCCCCAACATTCCAACATTCTGCCGGCACCATCATTTTGTGCTCTTACTTCTGTGCAGGCCTGCCACTCGGACCCACAGCATCAGTAGGGAATGGTTGACATATTTTTTTCACTCCCCACAGCCTAGCCCTGCCTCCTAATCGTTGCCAATCTCACGCCTTGAGCTAGTATTTTCCCGCGTACCTCGGGTAACTGTTCTTGCGGGCGGCAATTTGTCTTGCCCCCGACGCACAAGCCCAAATGAACAAATCAACCCAGGATCATATACGTCCATGGTCCCGGTTAAGCGGTTCCTTCCTTGTTGAGCGGGGGATGCCCTGAAAAGCGGTTCCTAATTCTCTTGGCACCGCTGCACCTCGGTATTCATAACTAGCATTTGACACTGCCAATCCGGTTGAGCGGCGATGCCCTCAAACGCGGGTATAACATTCTGACACTATTGACCGGTATTGTAAAGACGGGACCAAGACTGTGTACACAATAAGCGGTTCGTTGTTACTTGATTTGGTATGTAGACTTCGTTTGATCTGAACACGAAATCCTCTCTTTCTCCATGTCTGACGACGTATGTTTCGAGCAGGTGTTGATCGTGTCCCTGGGATCGCTGTCCGCTTCCACCCCGTACTTGGCCGCTATCCTTGTCGGCATCATCGGGGTGTGGTTTATGAGCGCCAAGTCCCTGGGAGGGATGATCAAGAAGTTCGAGGACAAGGAAGACGCGGACGAATTGGCAAAGGGGAAGAAGACCCCCAAGACTCCCAGCGTTGTTGCGGCGGCGTGACCGTAGCCTTGCAGCGGAATCTCGCGAGACTTTCTTGACGTGTTTCCCGTTTACCTTGATGAATAGTAAAGTCTACACGCGGCCCGACCCGGGTCTACAACGATATCGTAACGGGGACAGGTAGCACGAGTTAGTGTAGAGAGCAAAGGTCCCCGCAGTTTTCTGATTGGTCAATTTTGTTTTCTGGGTTGGGTTCGAATTTTGTTTTGTTTCGTCTGTTTTGTAGATGCATGCATTTTGTGGAGTACGGTAGAATGCCGGCGGTGTTTCGTCGATTTTGTTTTGTAATCTGGGTATTCACTCGGGGTGGGTTCTTGGGATGACGTGGCCGGGAGTACGAGGGAGTTAACGTTTGGGATTGGAGCGTTGCGTTCTGTTCTTGTTTTGAGAAAGCCTCACCATTTTTTGGCATTGTCTGGAAAATACTGGTGTCCTTTGCGCGTGCTTTCCACTTCCTGTTGACGACTGTTTTGGTTTGGCGGCTGGCCTTTGCCCGACGACCGCACATGAAAGCCTTGCACTGGAAGGGTTTTTATTTTGGCGCAGGCAATCAGTGCTTCGTATGTCCGCCCCCGAATAGACTTGTGAACCGTTTGACTTGTGAGGTGGGGCTGCTTCCGACGGTAATCTTGTCCAGGCCTTTGCCTTGAGGGTGTAGCCGGCGAGAGCCAAGCGGGTGGTGCATGCGCAGCAGGACCGGGTCACGCTGCTGCTGTATTGGTATTCGCGCGCTCCACCAGCAGCGTCCTTTTGTTGAATCAACATATTTACCATGTATGCTAGGAAAGGACACCCCGTCGGCAGATGCGAGGGAAGAGGGCGTGGGTGCGTTGGTCGTTCCTAGCTTTGTTTCGTTCGATTTGTTCCCTGTTTGCTGTCTACTTATAATCAACCGACCAAGGTTTATGAAGACGAGTACGGCATTACCGTGCCTTTTCTCTTCGCGTTATAACATGAACGTTCCGGTATTTGCAGGGCAACATCTGGCTCAGTTTGCCCGGACCGAACGGAGATGAAGACAACACCGGTCAAGCAACCGGTCGCTCGAACAAAACCATTGTTTGGGCGACATTGGCGTATGGACCGCACCATCACTTGGTTTTTTTACTCTACACCCTTTAACAGCCCTTTATATTTTTGCCGAGGCTCGTCCATTGGTTTGCGCTTTTATCCTGCGACCATCACGAAGGATTCAGTGCATCGTATGGATGGTTTCTACGGTCTTCTGTTTCCAACGTTTTGAGGTGTTGATTCTTCCCTGGTGGCGTATTCTGCACTGTTGTAACACGCAGAGGTATGAACACACTTGCGGCTCGAATGTGTAGATGATAGCCGCCGCCAGGGATGCGGTACAAGGCTTGCATCGGCTGCCAAGGAAGATGCTTGCAGACCCACCCTCTCGTTTGGTATTCCGTGCGCTTGCGCCGTAGCACGATGCGTACGTTGGAACTGTTGCAGTTACATTATATGGCGACCTTCTTGCGCTCGCTATCATGAATTTGTCCGCCTTCAGTGTAAGTGTAGGTCTCACCTGGTGTTTCTTTCACACGCTGGAGATCTGAAGAATCTTAGCTGACCCACCCGAAATCGATACATCATGTAATCGCCCAACTGTCGGTATATGCTTCTTCTGCCACGGTATCCGTGGCCTCTACCTCCCCTCTTCATGACAGTATCCAATGAAGCGCGCAGCACGAGTCAATTCCGTAAACGTTTTTTGAATCCTCCCGCTATATAAACACAATATGCACTGAGTTGTAGTATGCATGCATGCATGCGAATCTTATCTGCATTTATTTCATGTCGCTATGATTGCGTCACGTGTTGTGGCCTTCAACAGCGCACTCATAACGAGCTGGGAGAAATCTCAACGAAATACCCACGCCCATGTTGTTGTTGTTGTTGTTGTTGTTGTTGTTGTTGTTGTTGACTTCACATTAAACCGTATGCCAGTTGCTAAATGCCAAAATCTAGCAAAGACTCTCGGCCCGTGGTCACGAAAGTAAGTGCTGGAGCCATCTGAGGATCTAAATAACACGCACAAGTAGCAAGAAAAAGGTGTACAAGAGCCCGAAGAGCTACTACTACACCTATATATA